AAAAGACAAAAAAAAAAAAAAAAAAAAAAAATCCATTTAAAGTGTTCCTCCACTTTACATAGGAGAATGACAGGCTGACTTAATACCAGAGTCTAAATAACTAATACAGAGGTCATCCCCTTTAAATGTTTAATTGCTTTACTACATTCAGTATTCTTAATGAGCAGCACGCAAAATTCAATGATAATCCTCTGAAGCAGGACTTTATTCATTAGAACAAATTAAGACAACAACCTTTTATTAGAACAATTTCTTTAACTTTATTTCTGCAACAGTTACAATGATTGAAATCATTATTTAAATAAAATATTTTCATATCAAAGCTAGGATGAGAGGTGCGTTTTTGTTTCTCAGGGTTCTATCAACTTTTTAAAATAATCACGTCTCCATAAATACCTGGCTCCCCCTTCATATGATTTTTTTTTTTTAAGTTCTTTTCAAGTATTTGGAAAAAACAAATACAAAAAAATACAGAATTCATAATGGAAACACAAAAACGTTTTCAACACTGTAATTCAAAAGTTAAGTTCTTGCTGATCTGATCCACAGCCATATCTTGGGACAATGAAAATTTGAAATTTGCAACAGACAAAATAATAAAGCAGTGTAAAAAAATTGAATGCTGCAATCCAAACATTTACATACCTTTTTGTTTTTCGTGTTCATTGCTTTAGGCTAGCACGGTTGATGTTGCTACCATGCATATAAAGTATTGTTAGAAGCAAAACAGAGATCTCGAAACCAGACAAGCATGAAAGCAAAGGGTACAGCTACAACTATAACACGACAAGTTCCAAATAGGTTGTAGAAACCTTCGGTGTTATTCATCATATTTTTGTTTTTCAGAGACATAAATCCTGGGATTGTTAAGTTTTAAAGCAACAACTTACCTCTGCAAATAAAGGTGATATAACTGTAGACAGGCATTGGGATAGAGGCCTCTTTGGGATATCCTTTCCCTTTAAAGAAAACAAAATTCTGACTAATTTTATTTCTGAAAAAAGCATCCTCATTTTTTTCTGCTTCTAATTAAAGAAAAAAAATTAGTTCCAACATGCTACACTTTATGAAAAATCTGTTTCTATGTATATACAAATATGTAAAATGTTCTACAACAGACTGTTCTAAAGCACTGTGGAAGATGGAGGCTGAATTAAAATTTGAGGCTGTGGCACCTCAAATACATGCAAGCTCAAAATTAAAAAAAAACAAAACAACCAAACATCCAAACATCCC